TGAGTGTGGAAATATAGGCCCAATATTAACAGATGGCCGATTATGAAAAGAGGTTACAAACATGGACTTATAAACTGCATAAATACATCTATAAAATAAGGCTCTTTTTAAAATTTTTAAACACTATATAGGCCAGACAATATTCATCAGACTTAATCCACAGTTACCAGTTTGAATGTGGTACTTGGAATAAGGGTAACTTCAGTCGCTGACTCTACTGGCCACAACTTTTGACTACATTCCTTTCTTTTCCTGCCTGTTGGCCAGAGCCACACTACCTGTTGTTACTGTCACAATGAATGCTGCATTCCTCCTGCTCAGTGAAGTTCTAGGTCTCTCCTGAGTCATGGATTACCACGGTCTCCCTGATCTTCTGGATGTTTCCATCAACAAGCATTTTGTACGTACTCTCTCCTCTGTCCAAGAAGTCATAGTTCTGGGCAACAGATTGCTTAGGGCAGGAAACAAAGGTTTCCCTTGTGAAATTTTTCTTTTTCAGTTGCAAAGACCCCCAACTTGATCCACAAAAGTGTGATTAGCATATAGATGATATGCCTCATTTTCAAATTGCTCCTTACTCCACAGATATGCCTTAGACAAGTTTTTAAGAATAGAACACATTTGGCCCAGCCAAGTGTGGAGGTACATTTATTCTTACTGTAAATACATTAATTTAATTGGTGTTTAATTCATATTCCACTCTTTCCCTCACTTGTACTATTGAAGTAAACACATATCTCTTCAAGACTCCTCATGTAATGTTTTCATTACAGAACGCCTAGGGAAGAACTGCATGATGCAGATGGCTAATTAATAGTAATTCTTCATAATTTTAAATATCAATTTGATACAGGTAAGACTTTGCTATCTCAAACTTCACCAAAATAACAGGGAAGGGATTTGTTTAAACATAAATCCAAAAGAACAATAAAATTGAGAGATGACAGCTACTAAATTTTAGAAACTAAAGTACAGAAAGATTAACACTAAATGACTTAGCAATCTCAGAAAGAGAACGCTGGGGAAAGCCAAAAACTAATCAGCTTATACCACAAACTTCCAAAACCTTGGGAATTGGCAGTATTGAGGAACTCTTAAACTGAGTGTGAAAGCAGGGCTAAAAACCCAGAAGATTAGTGACAGAGTGATTAAGCAGCAATTAAAACTCCCATCTTGCCCTGGAGACACTCTGGAAAGGATAAAGAGAGGACCTATGGCCTGGAGGACACCAGGCTAGATCAGGGGCAACAGGGCCATCCTGGAGATAGAGAGATGAAATGAACATACCCAAAGTGGAGTGTGGAGACCCCAAGCTCTCTTCTACCCAGTTCCCACAGTGCTGATAGTCAGAATTTTACTGCTTAGGAAAATGGAAATATCTTCCCTTGGAGAATACAACCCTGCCATGTAAAATAACTGATTCCATTCCACACTCTGTATCCACAGGTCCTGAATCCACAGATTCAAACAACTGTAAAAGAAAAATATTGGGAGAGGTACAACTGTACTGAATATGACAGCTTTTCTCATCATTAGTCCCTGAATAGTGCAGTATAACAACTATTTGCATGAAGTTTACATTGTATTAGGTATCATACGTAATCTAGAGATGATTTAAAGTACACAAGAGCGCATGCTTGGGTCATAGACAAATGCTATGCCATTTTATAGACGGCGCCTGTGGGTGTTGGTATTCATACTGGTCTGGAATCACTCACTGGAAGATACCAAGGACAGCTGTATATACAAACTGAAGTCCTGATAAGACCCGGTCTGCAGATGTGTTAATTCTGTACATTTCTGTTCACTCTAAACTACCCAGGGTATATTGTAGACCTACTATTTTTACAGTCTGGATATGGTGTCTTGTCCTGATTCCCTACCTCTAGAGAGTGTCATTCAAGGCCCAACTCTGTGCCAACCAAGATACTTAAGAAGGACTCAAACAAAAAGGACAGAAAGGGGAAGGAAGGAAGGCAAAAGAGAGGGAGCCAGAGCAGGAACCGGGACCCTTCCCCCCCCAGCACCATTAACATCCTCATGGGGGCAAGCTAACAACAGCAGCAACAAAAGGGAATTTAGAAAAGATACTTTGGAAATTAAAAAATAAATTGGCAAAAATAGAAATCTTAAGAGAAGGTTGGAAAATCACATGGAGACAAGATCCCTGAAGGAAAAGCAAAAAAGGTCAGCAGTAGAAAATTGAGAGGCAAAGGGCTGGGGTTGGGACTGAGCAGAGAACACTTCCTTGGCATATGCGAGTCCCGGGCTTGGATTTCTAGTATAGTACAGGGAAGAAATGAAAGACTACAACCAAATTAGGAGGGTAGTTTTCAGCAGTCTGAGAAAAATGGCTAATATAAAGCCATCTATAAAATAATTTAAGAGAGGTGGGCATGGTGGCTTACACTTATAATCCCAGCACTTGAGAGGCTGAGACAGGAGGATCACCATGAGTTCAAGGTCAGCCTGGGCTACAGTAGTGGGACCATCTCAAAAAAACAAAATAATAGGGCCGGGATTTAGCTCAGTGGCTCTGCAATGCCTGCCTCATAAGCACAGTCTCCCGAGTTCGATCCCCAGTACCTAAAAATAAAAATAAAAAGTAAATAAATAAAATGATCTAAGAAAATTATCCTGAGCTAAAAGGCATTAATTCAGCACTCAGGAGGCTGAGTCAGGAGGTATCAAATTCAAGGCCAGCAGTTTAGACCATATATATATATATATGACTATATTTTTGAGACCTTGTCTCAAACAACCTGATAATAATAATAATAATGACATAAGTTTCTGCTGGGTGTGACGGTGCCCCCCTAATCTAGAGGGAAATCACAGTTTAAGGCTAGCCTGAGCAATTTAGGATGACCCTCTTGCAAAATAAAGAGCTGAGGATGTAGCTTAGGGATACCTGAGGCTCTAGCATCAGTCCCCAGAACAGAGAGAGAAAAAACACGTTTCACATAGAGTCGCACGTCAGTATGACCCTGGACCTTCACAGCAAGAATGTTGGAGGAAACAAGAGAGTGATGTATTCAAAAAGTTTCGGGAATCCGATTCTCCACCTAGAAATGCACTTGTGAGAAAAGCATTAGCTAAACACTGAGATGGAATAAAGGACCCACTCCAACACTCCAGTAGAGTCCAGTGCGCAGCATGCAGGACTGGGACACGCGCTGAGATGTGGTCGTTAGTGATGGCCGGTGTGCAGGCTCCAAAGCACGGGGTGTCTGCAGCTACCACCGCTTAAGGTGCAAACATTCTTTCAGTAAACTTAAGAAAAAATAGAAAGAAAAAAAAAAGTAGAAAGAATGCACTCTAAAAGAATGATTAAAAAGCTGGGTAAGGTGGCACAAGCCCATAAACCCAGCACTCAGAAGGCTGAAGCAGGAAGACCACTGCAAATTCAAGGCCAGCCTAAACTACATAGTGAGATTCTGTCTCAAAATACCAAAAAAAAAAAAAAAAAACCATTATGAAGTATCATGCACTGTACATAATTAAACTGCTGTACTTTATACAGCTGGGAGTGTAGCAGATCTATTTATACCTGCATCACCACAAATATGAGTAACGTGCCTTGCTAGGACACCATAGTCACTAGGCAGCAGGAACTTGTCAACTCTATTTCAATCTTCTGGGCCCGCCATGGTGATATGCAGTCAATCATTGCCTAAAATATTATGTAGTACGTGACTGCATTTGCCTGTCTCACACTGATTAACAGAAAGCAAGTAAAAGATATGCTCTGCCAAAATGAGGAAATAAATTGAGTAAAAGTAAAACCCCCAAGCCAGGCATCTGGTGTGTGCCTATAATCCCAGCACTCTGGGAGGCTGAGGCAGGAGGATTATAAATCCAAGCCCAGCCTGGCAAGTTAGCAATTTAGCTAGATTCTGTCTCAAAATAAAAGAATAAAAACAGGTGAGGCTGCAACTCGGTGCAAAGGCCCTGGGTTCAATTCCCAGTGCCACAAAAAAACAAAACAACTTTCAATTTTAAGATCTTAATTGGCTTTATTTTCCATTCCACTTTGTTCTGTAAAATAAATACAGATGGAGAAGAGTTTGGTTTTATAGACAGAAAAGGGCTAAAGAAAACAGAAGCAAAAAGTGGACTGGTCACTCCAAAGTTACCCTCCTCATAAGGTGAGCAGGAGAGACAGAACAATAGAAAAATATCTGATTAGCATCAGGCTACTTCGAGTCAGCTTTTTGTGAAAGGATTAAGGAGAGGGAACTTCATTATCACGGCAGTCCTAAACGGGCCTGTTTGGGAAATTTGCTGTTTATCTCTCTAATCCTGATTTCCCAGAAGATCAGATAAACAGCTGAGTTTCAGTTTGACACAGAGCTTTAGTGGAAGTGACTCCATTTTGAGTTTCGGCCTGTTTTGTTGAGGCCTGATGCCAGGGCTCAGTCTACAACAGCTTCCCGGGCTGGGGATTTATCTCAGTGGTGCCATGCATGCCTTGCAAGTTCAATCCCCGGTACTAAAGAAAAATTCAAACTAAAACAACAGCTTCCTAATTTTTATGTAACATCATTAACTTGCAACTTGTACTCTATTTCACGTACAAATTCCTGTCATCAATTCAGGCACTAATAGTTCCTGGCATGGAGTAGCTATTAAACAATGTTTGTTTTTTGAACAAACACACAAACATATGTTGTAAAAGAACTTATTCTCATTCAGCACAAAATTTAAAATAAAATACTTGCACTTTCCTATATAGACTGATACTCATTATTATCTGTATTATCTGATTATTATCTGTATTATCTGTATCCATACAGCTTTCAGTGTCTTTCTTACATTCTTTTTTTTTTTTTTATCTTTGAGACAGGGTCTCGCTATGTCCTTCAGGCTGACCTTGAACTCACTATGTAGCCCAGGCTGTCCTTGAACTCACAGTGATCCCCCTGCCTCAGCCTTCTGAGTGCTGGAATTACAGATGTGTTCCACCATACATAGCCTTATATTCTTATTATTTTTGCCTACTGGTGAAAGTCTTGCTTTAAATTTCCTTAGTATATCATTAGCACCTTTGTGTTTAAAACAAAACAAAAAACCTTAAGAAATGGTTAACTGGGCTGAGAGTGCAGCTAAGAGGTAGAGCACTTGCCTGTATGTGTGAGGCCCTGTATTCAACTGTCAGCACCTAAAAAAAAAAAAAAAAATTAACATAGTTCCTAGCACTAAGGAAAACATTCAGTAATAATAGCTCTGGCTGGGATTCTTAGCATGTGCAAGGCCCTGGGTTCAATCCCCAGTGCCACACAAAAGAGGGTTGATTAACAACTACTCATGTAAGATACCAGCTCCTCTCATTCCAGGGTAGGATAAGATGGATGTCCCATAATAGGATTTAGAGAGGCAGGGAGCCAGCTGTCCTCGGGCGATGTGATACATCGGTCCGAGGGCTGCTCTGTCTGCCTCACCTCAGCAGGGAACAGATTGAGTGGGGAAGGTGGGCTTCAAGACTATTGAGAAAAACTGGGTCCCCTGGAATCACTTCTTCAGTTGGACTGGAAAGCCATAAATCTCTAAACCACCAGACTCAGAACACTCAGGTTTGATGCAAGTACAAAAACATATGCCATCGCCAAATCCAAATTAGTTCTGTATCCTCTACCATTTGAGATTGTAGCCTGTTCTTCCGTTTTCCCTCAGAGCAGATAAGCAAGAATCCACTGAGCAGTCATTAACTAGGAAAAAGAAAAAGGGATTAATGGGGTTACAAGAAACGCTGCAGGCTCACAATGGACTGGGAAATAGCAGAATTCTGTTTGCTGTCACAGCTCTGCTCAATCAGTGACTTATGCAAGAGCATGAGTAACCGCTTACCTCAGTTTCGAGTCAGGTGAGAACGACTTGTCCTTCCTAGCACACTGTGAAATCTTAAAAGATAGCATCTTAAAATACATAAATACTGGGGGGTGGGGGGTTGCCATAGAAACAGGATGTTACCCCCGTTTGCTAGCATAACATATATTTTCTTCAGACACAGTACAAACAAAATTCTTCTGTTATAGACCCCCAAAATGTGGAATTTCAATTTGCTTTGTGAGTAAATCTCTTATCAAGAGCTTCAGGGAATGTAAAAGTTAACTTTCTCCAACGTGCGTGTATTTGATTTAAATAAACATTCCACATATTCAAGTGAGAGGCATCTTTGTCCATAAATTTTCCTGGCCAGGGATGAAGCTGAGGAGTAGAGCGCACGCTGACACACACAAGGTCCTGAATTCCTCAAGGACAAGAAACATTTTGTCCTCAGTTCCTGGTCAAACCCTCCCCCATCCACCACGGTGCTGGGGATTGAACCCAAGGCCTCATTTGTACCACTGAGTGATACCCCAGCTGCCCAGACTTTAACCAAGGAACAGAAGTAAGATTTTCCAAGTGATGTATAAATGCTCCCAGAGGTTTGGAGGAAATAGAAAAAAAATACTTTTAAGTATTTTTACTCCTAACTTCATTTTTAAACTTTTCAGCCAGTGATCTTTTTAAAAGATAGTTTAGCCGGCACAGTGGTGCATGCCTATAATCCCAGCACTCAGGAGGCTGAGGCAGGAGGACTGCAAGTTTATGCCTCACCTGGGCAGTTTAGTGACTTAGCAAGACCCCGTCTCACAATCGAACAAAAAAAAAAGAAACCCCCAAAGCAGGCTGATTATATAGTTTTTTGTTTTGTTTTGTTTTGTTTTTGTACCAGAGATCGAACTCAGGACCTTGCACTTGAGAGGCAGGCGCAGTGCCACTAAATGCCCAGCCCAGAGTATATAGGGTTTTTTTGTTTGTTTGTTTGTTTGTTTGTTTGTTTGGAACCGGGGATCAAACTCAGGTCCTTTTGCTTGCAAGGCAGGCGGCAGAACCACTGAGCTAAATCCCTGGCCCAGAGTATATAGTTTAATACAAAGGCTCTGGATTCAATCACCAGGACTAGGGGCAGGGTGGGAAATACTGTGATCCACTAATACAGTGGAACCTTGACTTACAAACTTGATGGGTTCCTGAGGGCTGGTTGGTCAACTTAAATTGGTCATAAGTCAGTACAGCTGAGATCTGGATATTTACCTGGGTACCTGAGTACACACTATGACTAACTAGAACAGATGAATCTTCCATTAACCTAATTAACCCAAGTTGTTCGTATGTCAGGCAGGTCGTAACTTGAGGGTCCATTGTAATGTAGTGACATCTATGTCATTGTAATGTAGCGACATCTATGCATATTCAGTCACTGGGATGTAAGTCAAATATGTCTTCACATAGAAAAACTTTCATCGTTAGTTATTATTGTCTAACTTAGATGTTATTCTATTAGGGTTCTCCAAAGAAATACAACCAATATGGACACAGAATTTTTTCTTCCTCAGGGGACCACAGTCTCTTTTCTCCCTCAATCTTTCCTTTTCTTCAACTCATTAGATGGGGCTCACTCTCATCATGAAGGTGATCGGCTTTCCTCAGGGTCTACTGATCGAAATGTTAATCACATCTAAAGAAGGTCTAGACCCAGGATTAACTAAGCCCCGGCACCATGGCTCACCCATGGACACACAAACTTAGCCATCCCAGTATTAACAGCTTTCCTTACTGAAAACAAACCAGGTGCCAGCCCCACACCCTGGACAGGTCCCAAACAGAATCATCTCTCCCCTGCTCACAGACGTCCTCTGTGGGTGTATCAGCTTCCCAGAGGAGGGAATCAGGCAGAAGTGGGAAGCACGCTCCTGAGGCCAAGAATGATGACGCTGGGAGATGAGATGACACTCAAGTCTACAGCAGCTCATCCGAATCAGAGTCCCGAATGTGTCACTGAAAGACTTGTGAGGTGCTGACTCAGTAGGACCTTTCTGTAATGAGATGTAAAGGTTCAGCTAAAAAAAAAATGTTCCTGTAAAACATAAATTAAAAAGAAAGGTTGACTGGATGATTCTCCATTCTCACTTCTTAGATAGCATTGGACTTTGAAGCCTCTGCAAATCCTCCCTCTCTGACTGTTCCGTTTCCCTCTGCACACAGGTATGCAGAGGGGTTTTTTCCATTGAACAATGATTGAAAAGGGAAAGAATCACAAAGCTGTAGTTTGAAAAGTGCTCAATTCCTTGTTTTAAAATTAGTTCGGGCTGGCGATGCAGCTCAGTGGTCGAGTGCTGGCCTACAACCCTGAGGCCTCAGGTTTGAAACCTGGCCCCACAAAAATAAATAAATAACAATAAAATTAGCTTAAAAGCACAGATATTCACAGGTCTTGTGTATTCTGTACTAAACACCTGCATAGGTGTTTCTCCATGAAAGCCCTCCTGATTCCATCTAACTTCTCCAGCTCCGCTTCTGTCCTCACCACCCACTCTCCTTCTGCAGGTTTCAGAGCTCAGAAGTGCGGGCTAAATGCAAAAGACCACAGCCTCTGCTCTGTGGCATTTCCTGCCCTCTTGGCGCCAGCTGGCTCTGTCGATGCTGATTTTTGAGATTCTCTCTTCTCTGTGGCTGCCCTGAGGATCCTGCAACCTCCTCTTTTTGTGCCCATTCCCTTTCTGCCTTCTTCAGAGAACTGCTCCCAGTCTCCATACTCGGAATGTCTTCTCTCACCCCCAGGTCAGCCAACCCTCTGGAGGGCCACGCGGGAAGCATTTTAGATGTTGTGGGCCCTAGGGTTCCCACCACAGTTATAGTACTCAGCTCCATTGTATCTCAAAAGCAGCATGGGCAGCGCTGGGGATTTAGCTCAATGGTTCCACCACCTCAGAAGCACAAAGCCCCGAGTTTGATTCTCGTACCAAAAAAAAAAAAGCAGCTCAGCAACACTGAGAAAAGGAATCCTCTGTGTACAAGAAAACTTGATACAAAGTAATCTTTTCTTTCTTTGGTACCGGGGATCGAACTCCGGTCCTTGCGCTTGTGAGGCAGGCGCCGGAACCAAAGTAATCTTTTTAAAACTTTTTGCAGCCATTTAGGCAACATTCTTCAGTCTCAGGCCACAGTGAAACAGGGGACAGCCGGCAGATTGCCCACAGCTGACCTGCCATGAACCCCTCACCTCTCAAATCCAGCTCAAACCCAACCTTCACCCCTGCAGCCCTCTTCGAGCTCTCTGTGTCAAAATGCCATTTTCCCCACGTCAATACACCTGATCATTCCAATTGGCAACTGTCATTACCTTGTCTCATTTTCTCTGTTGTTACCTCAACTCTAAAAGACATGTAAATATTTCACTAGTTTTACATTTTTCACATTTACATGCGCACAATAGACTGCAAAACCCTTAAGAAAAGCAAACAATGTCTTGCGTTTATGTAGCCCGTTGGTGGCTTTGCAAACTGTAGGTGTTCGATAAATTCTAATTTGTGGTACAATGTTAACATTTTAAAATATATTTTATGGAGCTGGGCACTGTGGCACACTCCTGTCATTCTAATTCTGCAAGGCCGAGGCAGGAGGATTGCAAGTTCAAGTCCAGCCTCGGCAACTTAGTGAGACTTTGTCTCAAAATTTAAAAAGGGCTGGGGATGTAGCTCAATGCAAAAGTGCTGAGTTCAATCCACAGTACCACAAAAAAAAAAAAAAGAAAGAAAAATGCCAAAATATATTTTTAAAGGCAATGTTATTAAATCATGCATCTGTCTTGTGTAATTGAGTGAATAAACAAATGAAGGAAGGGCTAAGTGCCAGCTCTATATCAGGCATCCATACATATTAATGTATGATCTCCACTAACACTCACAGTGCTCCAGTGATGCCAATCAGATGTATCACCCACATCTTACCAAAGAGGAAACTGAAGCTAGCCAGGCGTGATGGTTCACACCTGCAATCTCAATACTCGGGAGGCTGAGCCAGGGGGATTGCCGCAAGTTCAAGGCCAGCCTGGGCTACATAGTGAGTTCAAGGCCACCTAAACTACATATTGAGGGCCTGTCTCAAAAAACAAAAAACAAAAAAAAGAAAGAAACTGAGTCTCAAAGGCAACTGAACTCCCCATGCCAACCACATCCTCTAACATCAAACCCATATTTCCATATTCGCTTTATTAAAAAGGAAGAAGTAAAAGACTTTTCTAATCACCACCATCGTTATCCTCTTAGGAACTAGATAGCCATGGATACAGAGGCAGGAACCAACTTTAAAATTCACAAATACCTGATGAGCTTGTTTTAGGCCAGCTCCGCTACCAGAAACCACGCCTCTCTCAAAATTCAATCCATCACCTGCTGTTGACGCTGTCCCAATTCTGCCCCCTAACTCTTCTCTGCTAAATCACCATTGATCTCCTGCTCTCAGGTCCTGCCCCTCCAATTCACTCTTCACTCCGCTATCAGTGCAACCCTTCTCATACACAAATGTACTCCTCTTATTCTCTTGCTTAACCCCTTCACCGCGTCCTTGCTCCCTCAGAAGGAGACCACGCCCCTTCAGGAGGTTAGAAGTCTCTGCCATCTGCCCTATGCCTGAGCCCGGCCTCTCGGCCCACCACACGCGCTTCCGGCTCTGCGCTCCGGCATCTTCCGGTTGCCCCACCAGGGCTTAGTCTCTACACTCAGCGGTGCCCCCGTGTACTCTAGGGAGGTTTCTGTCCCCATGCAGCAAATGGGAGGGAAAAGGAAGGCCTGGGTGTAAGTGGCAGCCGGAGACCCCGCGCCATAGCCCTCCGCTTAGAGTTCTTTTTTCCTCCCTCTTTACCTGGCTAATTCCCACTATTGGGTGATGTGTCCCCCAAAGGCTCACCTCTGGACCTTAATCCTCAGGTTTATGTGTTAGTGATGCGTGGAGGTGGAGCCCTTGCGAGGTAATCTGGATTAGATGGGTTGTGTGGGGGGCCCCATGATGGCATTTTGTGGCTTTATAAGAGAGGCTGGAGCCGACGCACTTGTTCTCTCCCACTGTGTGAAACCCGCTGCCATGTTATGTAGCTGGAAAGAGGCCCTCCCCGGATGCCAGCACCGTGCTCCTAATTCCCCGCCTCCGTAACCCAAGCCACACTTCCATTCTTTATAGATTACCCAGTCTTGTGTATCTTCATTTAGTAACAAAAAACTGGCTAAGACATTCTGCAAGGCTCATCTTTTGCAGAAATAAGTGCATGACTTCCTCTTGTCTTCTGATCCATCCTACGATGAACATTTCTTCCTTTATATTGCTCTCCCACTCCACTTGTGTTACAGTTTATGGCAAAATGTCCTCCCAAAGCCCCGTGTGATCATAGGTGGGGCTTTGGGAGGTGATTGGATCATGGAGGCACTATGAGTTTATAGCTAAATGTTAGGAGGTGGAGCCTGGTTGTGAGAGGTGGACCACTGGGGGCGTGGCCTAGAAGAGCATATCCCCCCTCTTCCCTTCCCTCTCTGCTTCCTGTCTGCCATGAAGTGAGCACCTATTCCTCTGCCATGCCCTCACACCATCCTCCTGCCTTGGAGCCAGCTGATTATGGACTGAAACATGAACCAGATAAACCTCTCTTCCTTAATTGCAGATGTCAGATATTTAGTCCCAGTGATTAGAAAAGTGACAGACAACTGGTATCTCTGTTACCTTGTGTGTTAGTCAGCTTTCTGCACTGTGACATAGTACCTGAGAATCAACATGTAAGGAGGAAAGGTCTTTTGTGATTCCAGAAGTTTGTAATACCAGAAGCTTCATAATTCCAAAAGTTTCAGACCCTGCTCACTTGACCTATTGCTTTGGGCCTGCAGTGGGCCAGAACATGGTGGTGGAGAGCACATGGTAGAATACAGCTGCTTGCTTAATGGCAGCCAGGAAGCAAAAAGAGAGGAAGGCCAGGATCCCAGTATACCTTCAAGGACATGCCCCCGCTTCCACTTCATGCCTCAAGGTCCACCACCTCCCAGAAGTGCCACAGGCTGGCAACAAAGCCTTCAGTGTAGGGGCCTATGGGTGACATTTAAGACCCAAACCATGATACCTTCTTTGGCAAGGAGATCTGCCTGAACACTTGCATTCATTTATGAGTAGTCTGATCTTCCAAGTCAGACATTGCTAATGGCTGGAGGGGCTTTTCAGTGCCTTCTTCATCTGTCCATCATCCATATTCCAAGATGACCTGATGATTCCTGCCAAGAAAAGCTCCAGAGGAAACCTCTGGAGCTACATCTCTGCTGCAAGCACCAGTTGTCTCCCTACCAACCAGCATATTCTTCATCCCAAATACTCCTCTTTAACTTCCCTGCAGCTCTCCCACACCAACACCTCAGCATCCTGCCAGGATGGGGGCTCAAGTCACCCAAGAGGACCAACCTACAGCGGGCACAAGGAGCACCACCCATTCTTTCACGGAAGACTTGCTGGCTGGTGCCAAGGTCAGCAGACTGACTGCAGCTGCCAACTGCTCCTTCAGAAATCTCCCGTGGCTCAGCTCGGGCCAGTCCTAGGGAAGCCCACGTGTGCTGACTGAGAAAGGGAGGAATGTACAGACTCGGGCATCTGGGCCCAGTGGGCAGCACTCACTCCAGAGCTCTCAGGTGGGTCAGCCCACCACCAGTCTGATAGCTGCATTTGCAAAGCTGCTTTAGGGAGAGTGATAGGTTGAAGCAGTGGCCAAAATAATCACCCTTCCCTTCATATGGTGTGTAAGACCGTGTTAGGCAGATCCACCATATAAACTCAAGGAGATTGAAAACTGGATCCATATTAGGAAGGACTTCAAAAGCAAGACTTTCAATAGACCCACACTGTCCTAGCAAGCTCAGAGAACTGAAAATGTTCATATTAGCCAACATTTCAGGATTCATCCTGAGGGCTTCCTGTCTTCCCATTGCTGTCCCAACATCACACCGGTACGTGGTATTTGTACTTGTTTCCAGAGACTGCCAAAACCAAGTACCCCAGAGTCACTGAA